TCTGAAGGAGAAAACCAAACTAAACCATGTAGAAGCTTTCAACTCCATTTCCCGCCACTGGCTCCACACTCAGGGGACACTGCTAGAAAGACAGTGAGGTCTTGCTTCTTTCTTATTTGTTATTCATTCCCTATGCGTTAGGGGAGCAGCTGTTATGTGGGCAGCCACTGGGCTAGGTATCCAGGGGTGCCGGGTATCCAGGGGTGAGTAAAACAGACCCTGGCTCTGCTGTCGTGAGACATATAGTCAGGAGGGAGGCAGATCAGAAAGGAGCCCACCGAGACTGACGTGTTGCTAGGTCACCTGAACAGGGGCTGCGTTTCAGCTGGTGGAAAGGGCGTGAAGGTGCCGCCTGCCCGTGTCAGAACCGCTGGAGTACAGGGGTGTGCGGCGTTGGGGCCCAGGGACTGTGCAAGGGGAGGGCTCACTGGAGCCATCCTCCAGACACTATCTCAGAGAGGCCGAGAACTGCTCTGGATTAGGAGGAGTCGATGTTACATCTCTGCGTTTATGATCAGATTTGCTACTTAAAGAAGATGGTGATTTCTGGCCAGCCAACTCTGCAGAGCATTCCCCTCCTCTATGCTTTTTCTCTCCTTTGCCCTTAAAACCAGGAAACAAATAAAAATAGAACTTGCTGGCTTGGATGAGGGCCTTACACTGCCTCCACAAAACCAAGGCAAGCTAATGGCCTAAGTGGGAATCAGTCGTGACAACCTTGCTCTCACTGTGCCTCTACATGCTGAGCTATCACCACTGTCTTGAAAATCATAATTCGTTTCCTTAAGACCATCCACTAGTTAATTCCACTTGTCAGTATTAATTCTTTTTGCTCTATTCTGCCTGACTGAATTTTCTTTTTGTTGCGTAAAATTTATACACAGTGAGATACAGAGTCTTGGGTGTGTACAGTTCAATTTTGACACATGCATATATTTTTAAAACTTTTTCTTAAATTTTACCAATTTGTCAATCATTTACATAACTGTATCATTTTGGGAATACAACTTCACACCTCCATACTGTGCACATGCTTCACTCACCCCCCACCGAAGCTCCAGTGTGGGTACCCTGCACTCCCCTCCCCTAGGCCTCTCCCTCAGACATCCCTTTTCATTTTGTTTAAAAAATCTTGGAATCCTTTTAAATGATGAACATTTGGGTCCAAAGGCAGATTTCTGGAAAGGAATCTCCTATCAGGCCATTGATTGCCTCGTCACAAACGCCTCCCTCCCATGCCCCTAATTCTCACCCAATCCTTTCCCAAAATCCCCCATCACCATAGAGGACTTAAAGCCATAAGAACAGTTTGTAATCCCAGCTTTCTGAGGCCTAAGAGAGAGATTTTGTCATCTGAAAACAAGGGAAAGATTAAGTACAGGATTTGATTCTGACAACAGCATAGAGGAATGAGCCAGACGAGAAATGTTTCAGAGAATTAATGCAAGTTCCACTGTGTAAATCTCCATGGCCCCTTCCAACTCTCTAACCCTGACACACCATCTTGGATAGAATAGAACAGTTTTTAGGGGACATGACATCAAACTGAAATATGATTAATAAGAGACCATGTACATTTTAAGAAATTTTCCCTAAACTGTGCCTTACTCTTTCTGAATGGATTCTCGTAGAAATGACACATAAAGACACTCCTCTCTGCCAGGGTCAGGATCCCAGACCTGTCCACTCTAACTGCACTGCAGCGACTTTCCAATGTTCCAGAGCAGCTTTTCTGTTGCACAACTTCCACCAAAGGTTATACAGCCAAATAACATAACACCCTGTAACTTTTAATAACTACAATTTGTATAACACATAAAGGCAAGCAAAAGGCTTTCTATAAAGATACATTCCAAATTGTAAAGGTATAAGCAAGCCAAAGGATTATTTAAAAATCATTTCTATGTTACGGGATACTTTGCAGCCACTATATTCCAATTATATCTTGCAGCAGAGAGGCAGGCCATGCTCATTTTCCACATCCAGAACTTTCCATGTCTTGATGATGGTATTTCAGAAATATTTCCTGAAGCTGACTCAGCTGCTACATTTAGTCCTTATTACCTCCCCACCAGACTTCAACTCCTTAAAGCAAGGCATGATGTTCACTAATTTACTGCTCAGTTCCCAGTGCCTCGCACACCACGGGCATGCAATCAGCGCTGTGCAGGGCATGAGCCTTGCCTCTGTGTCCTTCTCGTCTCCTCCACACAGTATATCAGCATTATTTTCAAAAATGCAGTTCTGCTTATGTCCTGTACATACTCACCAAACCTTCCCAACTCTCCATTGCCTGTTGAAGGACAATCCTTTGTTAAGGGACAAACTCCCCAGTCTCACGCTGAAGATCCCTCGCAGTCTGACCAGCCTATCTCCCTGCTCTACCTCCTCCTCTCCAAACACTATATGATTGCCAAGCCCTCATTTGGGGTCACGCTCCTAAGCCTCCTCTTGCTTTGCCTGGAATGATCTTCCTTTCCCTTGGAATTTCACTTCTTCAAAACACAGCTGAAATGTCACCTCTATCGGCCTTTCCAGTGTCCTGAAGGTTCTTCTGCTTTATAACCTAGCTGGTCATTCCCCACTGCACATTTCTTATTATATTACACTAGGTTTTATCCTTTTTCTTCTTTCTTTTTTTTTGGTGAATTCCTTGAGAGCAGGGTCTGAATCTTAAGGCAATTGTTGAGATATCCCCTTCACCGACCCCTGGCACTATGCGGCCAAGCCTGTTTTTTGCCACAGCAGCTCATGTGCAAGCTGTCAAGGGTCAGCCACCCACCCCTCTCCAGGGCTTCCCAGCACACTTAGGAAAACCCCAAAGTCCTTAATTACTGGACCCCTCCTTTTCCTTCTCTTCCTCCTCTCCCACTCTTCCCCTGCTGGCTCTAGCCCCACTTACCTTCTTGCTTCTCCCTTAATATACCAGCTGTTCTTTCCTCAGGACTTTGGAGCCCTCTGCCCTCTGCCGGGAAAGTGCTTCCCCCCCGGTATATGCCCCCTTACTTCATTGTGGCTTCTGCTCAAAAATCTCCTTCTGAGATCCTTCTCAAATCACTTACTGAAACAGCCTCCTTGAAGCCCTACTCTCTTACCAGCTTTATTTCTCTTCACACAGGAAATGCCACCAATTCATCACCATTAATGTTCCATGCATTTATTAATTCTTTATTTGCTGCTAAGGATTACGACTTTGTTTTGTTTATCACCATGCCCTTGGTGCCTAAACCGATGCCTGGCAAGTAACAGGCATTCGAGTATTTGTGGAATGAGTGGATAAATCTCTGTATCTCAGGAGCCTGACCTACTGCCTTGTTCTTGAAAGATCCATGAATAACCACGTAAACAAATTTCTACATCTGAAACAAAATGCAGGATTATCCCAGTTCTTAGTGCAAGTATTTCTCATCCATTTCTTCCATTTCTTCCCTCTGCTCACACAGGTGATTGAACCAGGTTCTCCTTCACTTTTTCAGATGCTAGTTGCTGACACAGGTCTTGCTCAGAATTTTTAGGAAATTTCAGAAAGATTACCAAGAGTGACAGCGAGGATTTAGACTGCTCTCCAGCCCGCTGCCTCTCATCAGTCCCTGAGGGAGTCTGATAAAGTACCTCATCTCCTGTGGCTTATCCCCATGCGCATTCAGCATTAATCCTGCTGAACACTGATTATTCCCAGCGCTGCAACAGGTAAGTCATGACTGACCCCAGATTCAGGGAGAGTGGGACCTTTCCACCTCCACATCCCAGTGAACAAGCTAGAGGCTTGAGAGCTGCTGCTCGGTGCAGTACATGTACTTCAGGGCCCTGAGGGGCTTTCTGTTCCTTCCTGCAGGTGAGCTGGGGAGGTTTGCCTCAACCCCCTCATTCACTTTGGCCTCTTGGTGCTTTCTCCACCTGACCTTTTTTCTTGGTTCCTTGCATAGGGGTATATAAAAGAAGCAGGCAGTCATGAGAAAGGTGAGCCTCTGGCACAGGTGAGTTGTATGTAGCACGTGGGCAGTCTGTCCTGTCCTTCTATAGAGGCTAAGCAGTGGGGGAAATGCCCTAGCCTTAGGAAGAGAGGCCTCAGGGCAAGACCGGACGCTGCCAGGAGCTACAAGGCCACGCCCCTTCAAACCTCAAACCTGGGCACTGAACTTGAGTGATGGAGGCAGCTTCCTGAGGTGTAGAGAGAAGGAGCTAGCTTAAATGTCTGTCCTGTCCAAGCGCTGGGCTGAGCCTCTTATGGGCATGGTGTCATCTCATGCTACCAACGTTATTTGTGATCATTATCTGCATTTTGCAGAAAGAGTAAAACAAGGTTCAGAGAGGTTAATGACACTTGCCCGAATTACCAGAGCGTAACTGGGTGAGAGCTGAGATTTGGGATTCCAACCAGGCCTGTGTGACTCCCTGGCAGCCTACCAATAGCAGGCATTTCTCGAACATCCAGGAGGGCATGAAGGCGAGGGGGTGACAAGACGTAGGGGGCAGCCAGCGGGTCCTATCTGAGACCTGATCATCAGAGGCCCCGCAGAGCCCACGTTGTACACACGTCACCTGACTTCTAAGGACGGCGACTTCTGTGGCTGACTTCAGGGTCACTCGGGTCCCACTCTGGTATGGGGACCTCCTCTCACTCTCCACCCCCAGAGGAGCCTTCTCTTCCAGCAGGGTCCCTCCGTGCCATCTGGCTCCTGTGTTTGCACCTAGTAGCGCCTTGGTCCTGCTGGGTCTCTATTCATTGCACCTTCTTCTCCGCTCCGAAGTTGTACCCCCTGGGGAGAGCGTCCCGCCTGCATTCCTGGCGGTTCCGCGGTTCCGGGTCACCGTCGTTCCGGGTCCAGGCGTGAGAGGAGGCACTGCCGGCGCAGCCGCGGTCTGGGCATCTTTGGCGCCCTTCGCCAGCCCCTTCCTGCGTTCTCGCGGCCCCGCGCCGCAGCGCCCACTCCGCCGCCAGGGGCCGCCTGCAAGCGGGGCTCCCCGAGCGCGGGGCGGGGAAAGGGGCGGGGCGCAGCGGTACCTGGCCCGCCGGGGAGCCAGGGGTGGGCTCTCTGGGGACCGCCGGCAGCCCCCCCAGATCCGCACCGCCAGCCGCCGAGGAGCTCAGGGTTCCGGGCGTAGAGGCTGCGCTGTCACATGGGCGGCGGCGACGGGGCCGCATTTAAGCGGCCGGGGGACGGCGCCCGCCTCCAGCG